TGCCGTTTCAGGAAAGTTAAGGACCTGCGCCTCCTACGTACATGTGCTTTATCACAGCTGGTGGATATATTTAACCTCTTTCACAGAACAACCATGATAATTTCCTGTAATATTAGTGCCACAGAAGAGTAGTGCAGTTATATAAAAATAGAAATAGAGTGATTCCTGTGTGTGTTGCACCAACCTTGCTACCTTGCGGTGACTCACACACACACACATCCCTCCATTGCTGAAGCAGTTACAAGACTCTTTGGCCACAAATGATTGGTGAGTGTCATTGTGGGAACCCCGAACCAGATCGTGGACACCGGAGGTGAAGGCAGCCGTCACGCTAAAGAAGAAGAAGAGTCTTACTGGGTTTGGTCAGCCTGTGGGTCTTTGGAGGCAACTGATGGGTACCAGCAGGCAAAAACTCACCATGCTGTAGTCACGGTGTATAGTGGGCGTGGGTTGGGTTCATTTAATGATTACAGTGGACATAAAAATGAGCATGACTCAATATCCAAATATGAACACATTTCATGAGAAGCAGCAATAGAAGTAAGTATGTAAACACTGTAAAGAGGAATAATATTTACTGGTGTTACATGGATTAGTATTATATCCATTCATGCTTTAAGTTATGATCTTTTTCAATAGATGTTCAGATCCTGTAAAGTGAGGAAAACCTATTACTCCACTAATAATCCTCCTTTATACACAATGTGTTGGATTTTCTTATAGGAATAAATGGAAATGATCTCTAGGAGTAAATCAGTGATACATCTGTTTATAATCATGTGGTCATTTGAAAAAAGTCTGTTAGTCTGACAGAACTCCGGCTCATGTATGTAGGTAAAGTCACCAGCTTGCAACCTTCTGTCTGCTGTGCCCAGATTAAACCATGGTCTCGTGCTGCCATCTACTGACACTTAAATGCAACAACAGGCTGTCCAACTCTAATCTTCCACCACTGAAACTTTAATATCGCTCGCGTTTTATGAATGCGGAGCACCGTTTTTGTATCTGATATGGAAGGAAATTCACACTCACACATATAAACATCACAAAATGTCTTTTCTAATTAGTTTTTTGCAGGCGTGTTCACACCTGGTGATCTCTGGTGGTCTTACATCCAAGTCCTAACTGGGTCCAACCTGCTCAGTGACATCACACAGGATCAGGAGAGCTCAGCTCTTTAAAAAACGCCCTGTCACACCTGTTTTAACTGACACAGAACACCACAAAAATCTAACGTCAAATATGTGTTCACATTTTTGATTTAATTAAAGTAATATACACTCACTGGCCACTTTATTAGGTACACCTTCCTAATATTGCGTTGGACCCTTTTTTACCTTCATACTGTTTTAATTCTTCGTGGCAGAGATTCAACAAGGTGCTGGAAACATTTCTCTGCAATTTTTGGTCCATCACTCACTTCCACAATGGCCCAAAGCTGCTGTATTAGATTACGATTTGGTGACTCTGGAGTGTGGGATATTTGAGTGTAGTGAACTCATTATCATGTTAAAGAAACCATATCACACTCAGGTCGGCTGTGATGTATAACACTCAGTTTGTGTGTCAAGAAAATCCTCCACACGTCACACCACACCTGACGGACAGGAAGCAGCATGTGAGGCTGGGAAAGAATGTCTCGGACTCCCGGACCATCAGCACCGGCTCCCCTCAGGGCTGTGTTCTTTCTCCTCTGCTCTTCTCCCTGTACACCAACTGCTGCACCTCCACCCACCAGTCTGTCAAGCTAATCAAGTTTGCAGATGACACCACCGTTATTGGGCTCATCTCGGACGGGGATGAGTCTGCCTACGGGAGGGAGGTTGAAGGTCTGGTGTCCTGGTGCAGCCACAACAACCTGGTGCTGAATGCCCAGAAAACAGTGGAGATTATTGTGGACTTCAGGAAGCACACAGCCCCACTCCCCCCCATCATCCTGACTGACACCCCCATCATCTCTGTGGACTCATTCCGCTTCCTGGGTACCACCATCACCCAGGACCTGAAGTGGGAGCCCACCATCACCTCCGTCATCAAGAAAGCCCAGCAGAGGATGTACTTCCTGAGGCAGCTGAAGAAATTCAACCTGCCAACACGGACGATGATGCAGTTCTACACCGCAATCATCGAGTCCATCCTCACCTCCTTGTGACCAGGAGATATTTTATTTTGTATTCTTATGATCACAGTTATAATCAGAAGTATCAATCATTAATCATTTACCATTGTTGAACCAGTTGACAGAATAATCTTTGAACCATATCTATGTTAACATTAATCTACACAGATTATCAGTACTTTAATCAGTCTATTGTTGTTCGGTACTATTCATGTTATTTGCTTAAAGCTGTTTCACAGTTCTGTAATCACTCAGAAGCCTGTGGGTCTTGCTGGACCCTGCCTTGGTTCTATGTTCAGTTCTGCACGTACACAGGCCTTGAAAGTACATGCACGCTCTTATATAACACATGCATGTGTACACACACACTTAGTAAGAATAGGAGGGTTGTCTGAGGACAGTTTTCTGATAGATATACTTTCACAATAGACACGAATAGATATACACACCACACACTGGTTTTCTCTGAGTGCTGGGCTGAGTGGAAACATCTGGAGGCCTTATAAGGAGAACTTGTGGAGTGAGGGGAACTTCCTGAGATCTGAGAACTGACTGATACTTATCATGGGACTTGACGTCATCATTGTAATAAAAGCCTTGTGAGATGCTTGTTCGGGGGAGATCGGCTCTAAAAGGCTTGTGATGCTCATCTTCCCCATATGTACATATGTATAATAAAATCACTATTCTGACATCTACTGAGACCATGCAGTCGTTTGTCTCTTCCTCAAATTCGAACCCTGACAATCTGGTGCCGAAACCCGGGACCGAACCAGGGACCTTTACCATCACCGTGTGGTACGCTGGAGCCACTATCAGGGACAAACAGAGACTGCAGCGTGTTGTGCGCTCTGCTGAGAAGGTGATTGGCTGCAGACTCCCATCTCTGCAGGACCTGTACACCTCCAGGACACTGCGGCGTGCAGCTCGGATCTCAGCTGACCCTTCTCACCCTGGACACAGTCTGTTTGACCTGCTCCCCTCAGGCAGGAGGCTCCGGTCCATTCGCACCAGAACCTCTCGCCATAAGAACAGTTTCTTCCCCTCTGCTGTTGGACACATGAACAATAACCGTATGACTGTTCCCACCACTAACACATGACCCTACGCTGTGTTCACTGCATCATTCCATGTTTGGCCCTGATCACCACCTGCACTCATGTATATATCTTTCTACGCAGCACTTTTAATTCTTATTCTCATGTATATATCTCATGTATATCTCATGCACATATCTTTCTACGTAGCACTTTTAATTCTTATTCCTACTTTTATTTTTTCATGTCTATTTAAGTGCTATTTATGACACTATGTTTGCACTTAAGCACCGCAGCAATTTCCTAATGTTGTAAACCTGCTCAACATTTGGCAATAAACCCCATTCTGATTCTGATTCTGATTCTGACCACAGGCTGAACTGGTGCAAAGCAGGATGGATTCATGCTTTCATCCTACATTTAGATCCTACTATCTAAACGTTGCAGCAGAAATTAAGATAAAAGAGCGTGTGTGGATGATTCAGCACCTACAACTCAGAAGAAGATGACAGTGGAAAAGAAGGCCAGGTCAACTGGAGACAGTTGAGTGTAACAAGTGTTTGTTTGAGGTCAAATGCAGTCTTGAGGAGAGGGGCGAAACAAAAGCAAATATGTGCCAAACATTAATGTAAATCTTGAAACCAGCACATTTAATCAAACTCTCGTTAGCTTTTAATAACTGACTTGGCAGCAACACACACACACACACACACACACACACACACACACACACACACACACACACACACACACACACACACAACCCCGTTCAGCTATCTTAGTAAGGACCTTCATTGACATAATGGTTTCCCTAGCCCCTTACCCTAACCCTAACCATAACCTAAATGTAACCCTGACACTAAAACCACATTTTGAGCCTCAAAAAGGCCTTCAAACTTGTGAGGACCGTTGAGTCCTCACAAGTGACTGTTGGTTCTCACAAGTATAGTAGAATGCAGATTTCGGTCCTCACAAAGATGGCTAGGCAGGAACACACACACACGCACACACACAATGACATCTAGTTTGAGGAAACCTGCGGTATTCACATGCAGGACATTTAATCAGTTCGAATCCATTAGTTATATTATTACAGTCTATGACATCATCAAAGCAGACAGTCAGAAAAAAAAGATGGAAAGAAAAAAGAAAAGACAATAAACAGACAGAGCTGAAGTAGAAAAGCACCCTTCTAGATGGTCTTCTGCCTCTTCTGGGATGCCTCAGAACACTAAGTAATCCCTCATGTTATGGTAAATGGCCTGTATTTGTATAGCGCTTTACTAGTCCCTAAGGACCCCAAAGCGCTTCACACATTCAGTCATCCACCGACATTCACACACACATTCACACACTGGTGATGGCAGCTACATTGTAGCCACAGCCACCCTGAGGCACACTGACAGAGGCGAGGCTGCCGGACACTGGCGCCCTCTGACCACCACCAGTAGGCAACGGGTGAAGTGTCTTGCCCAAGGACACAACGACCAAGACTGTCCAAGCTGGGGCTCGAACCGGCAACCTTCCGATTACAAAGCGAACTCCCAACTCTTGAGCCACGATCGCTCCAGGTCAAGTGTCTGGAGCTCAATATAAGCTTATTTAATTTTCTTCCAAGAGCCGGGTCATCCCCTCTGTGAATGTTTCCACCTGCTGCCGGCTGATTGAAATGTTTGTCATGAATGTCGCGCCACCATGTGTGATACTGCCAAGCTTCTTGTCAATGTCTCACATGAATACAGCAGCATTTTTTCACCCTTTAGAAGTTCAAAATATTCCAGTTGCCTTCAAGGACATGACTCAAATTACAAGTTGTGACTATTTTATGAAGTGGTAATATATTCATGTGCAAGAGTTTTTGTCTTGTTAGTCTGATCCTCAAACACACCAGATACTATCACCATTATCATTTAGTCAGTGGATTTCCTTTTTTTCCCCTGTCCCAGTGCAAAGACTTTCAGGGAAAGTTCTGGACATGTTTCACACTCATTGAATTTCTGTCCATCAGTTCACCTGTCGTTCAGCCCGATCACAGCCCAAGTTCCGACTCTTTTGCTGTTTTCTTTACACCAAATATCCAACAGCAGCAACAATGAGAAGCAGGCTGGAAACTGATAGACTGGATACAAGTCCAACAGATCCATCCTTCTTCGCTCCTTGTCTTTGAACTGCAGGAGAGAAACAGGTGTCAGGTGTGTTAGGTAGGTGATGAGTGAAGAACAGAACAGGAACCAGCTTCACTGTGAATCATGACCTGTTTCCTGATTCTCGCTGAAAACCTTTTCAACCCTCAGCTAAATCTATCTACTGTGGCCTGAACTGGTTTAATGTTGCCACACGGATTGTCAGAGTGGCCACAAAGTGACTGGAAAGCTCTGACGATCCTTACTCTGTCAGCTTCTCTCTTTCACTCTCGCTGTCATTACTTTCAGTGTAACACTTGTTTAAAACCACTCAGAGTAACACAGTGGTGGCCAGCCGGCTGGGGCCGTAGGTTCTTGACAGCTTCCTCCCACAGTTGAAGAACATCCACACGTTAGGTTAACTGGTGAGTCTAAACTGGTGTTGATGGTTTTCTGTCCGACTGGCAACCTGTGCAACCTGTCCAGGGTGTACCTGTCTGTAGCCTTCTGGCACCTGGGATAAACTCAACCCCAACCTTGACCTCGAATTTGATGAGTGGAAGTGGGCTGGGTTAAATCTCACCAGCAGGTGGCGCTATTGCTTTGTCTGTTGTTTCATTGCGATAGCTAGTAGCAGCTAGGCAGAGTCAGAAGCAGGAAATATTTCTCACATGTGCGCTTGTGATGGTTAAATAGTCATTAATGAACCCAACTCCATCCTTATTTATGACTTTGTGGAAAACGCTGCCTCTGAGTATTTTGAGCTTTTGACATGTTTTCAATTATTACTTTCTGGTACTTTGAGTACAATTGTGATTTTTACAGACGTTAATTTTAAGAAACAGGCTACTATGTAACTTCAGGTCTCATTGCACCTTGTTTAATTTTTATCACTCAGCTATAAAATGTTCATGAGGGATTGTTGTGTACTCGCAGGTTTGTGAATGTGAACTTGAGAAAGAAGAGGAATTAAAAATCAATACCATAGGTGTAGCTAGTAAAAAAATCTCAGACAAGTATAAATCTCAGGGATATCAACCTCAAGGTCAGAGGTCAAATTAAAAAAAAAGTCCTGTCAGGTGACGTAGGATATTGAAATTGATACCATAAGTGCGTCGACCCTGAGACTGAAGTATATGTTTGTTGATGTCTGTTAGTTTTACTTTACATTTTGAAGGGCCGTCTTAATAAAGTAGCCAGCACACCTGTCACTGGTCAAAGAGCTGTCTGTCTGCTTAGCTGTGCTTCACACAGTAGTAGCAGAACAGGAGGAAAGTGGATAGATGCACATACCTTGGCATTTATGGAAGTTGATATTTTACTAATAAACCATGCCACCGTGCTGCCTTAAACCAGTTCAATAAATGTATAATCATAAGAGTATATACCTGAAGCCAGGACATGACTAATAAAATGGATGAAAGCAGGAAGAGTGAATTCTTACTCTTGATTTAACTGGCTACTCTTACTCATCGACGGACAAACAGTTACAGAGGACACACTCGAGGCTTCAACTCACCTGCAGGTGTAACTTTCAGCTTGGTTTCCTGCTTCATCTCAGATCTCTGGCTGTGATCTGTTTCATATGAGATGTGGCACTCATATGTTCCAGTGTCATTAACGGTGACGTTGTGAAGAATGATGGACATTTTTCCACTTTTCATGTTTGGGTCTTCCAGCTCCACTCGACCTTTGAAAGACTCATGCTGGTATGTTTTGTAAAGACGATCTTCCCGGAAGAAACAGACGTAATCGTCTGCTTTCAGGTCACTCTTGGTCCATGCTACCCGTAAGATGTTCCCTTCATGGGGACCCTGACAATCGAGAGTTGCATCCTCTCCAACCTCCACTTCTTTCTCGTCTAAAAGAAAAGAAAAGATTCCAGAAATACTGCACACCCCAAATTATAGTTGGATTAGTGTTGTTGGTTAGTGCATTACAATCATTCTGGACAGGCTCATATTTGCTACTTACAACCAGCACACTGTCATAGTCCAGTTTTTCAACTGAAAGCTGAAAAATGAAAACACACACACACCTTGTGTGTGCCTTTGCTTAGAAATCTTAAAAATCTGCCCACAAATGCAAAAGTGCGAGCGCAATCCAAATGCAAATCAGATAACAGTAGCTGTGACCACAGAGTGAATCTATATTAAGAGTAAGCCGACTAGAAAGGGAAGAAATCCCCCACAGCTGTTATTTTTCGGGGAAGTTAAGCAAAGCATTGACGAGAAAAATACTTTAAATAGTCTGAGGTCACGGGCCTCACTGTAACAGAGGAAATCACTTTAATGAATCCATTGTGACTATGCTGTAAAACATTGAAAACAAAAGCCTTTTTGTAATAATATTAACTTTATCAAACTGCTGCTTTAAGTACACTGTAAAAACTAAACTTCAAATAAAAATGTAGATCACAGGTTATTGTAACAACATTTTCTAGTGAAGGAAAGTTAGAGTAGAAATAAATAAATAATTAAAAACCTTGGCAACATCAAAGAGTCAGTGTGCCTAAAATTAAAAAATCCCACATTCCTCTGAGTCACTGTCTCATATTATCATGTTAACAGCATCATTTCTCTGCAGCACAGAAACATGTGGATCCACTGGTAACCAAGTGAAATGTACAAATGTAACATTACCATTTAAAAAACATGAAACCTTTTCCACAGAAATACCATTAAATAATAACAATGTAAACATGCTCTTTCATTCACCTGCAGATCCAAGAATTAGAGCCAAAAACAGGAGGACTTGGAGAGTGTTCATCTGTGACAGGAGGCTGTAGACGGTGGCGTGATGATAGGAAGCATTAAGCTTTCACACGAATCAGAGGGGGGGACAAAGTGTGGGAGGTTCAAAGGAAAGTAGTGTTTAAGAGAACGTGAGATCACACTTATTTAATGCTCATGATATGAACATGATATGATATAAAAACTGTAAAACATTAGGAATCTGACATACAGTTTAGATGATGTCTCTCATCTCAGGCTTTTTACAGGAATTCGAGCTGCATTTGAGAAAAGGCTGCAGGGTCATGTTGGCTTCTATAGATCTGGTGCTCAGGGCCTCTGTGCTGTGCTTTAACATGGCCATTTTCTACACACTAGTAAGATTTCTTCACGTTTTGTCATCTGCCTGTGTGTCAGTGGTAGACTGCATGATTTTGTATGTTCCTGTTCGGTCTCATCTTCAGAGTCACTCCGTCAGCTCATCTTGGAGTATCGTCTTCCTGATTTATTCATGGATGCTGTCCTGATGGCTCAGGTCTTATTCCTAGTGTTGTTGCTGTATTTTTAAAAGTGGCACAAATATGAAAAATAGAAATTCCTCAGGAGGAGGTTGATGGATCTTGTGGTGTGTGGTTTTTGTGTGTGTAGCTTTATCTTAAAATGACTAAGAACAGTGCCGATGTTTTTGCAACTGATGGTGGCTTCTCTGTTTGTCTGTGGCATCACTGAGATGGTCGTGTCCCTAACAGGGCCGAGGCAGGAAAGAGAGCAGGGGCGTTCACACAGTTTCACTTCTCTGTTGTTAACGATTGTGATGGTAAAATGAATCATTCCTGTCACACCAAAGAAATGTGGGTACTAACCATTAAGAACTCTTTGGAATTTGTGTTCACAGGTTTTTCAAAGTTACAGGCCCTCAGAGTGCATTGGAGAGGGGGTTAAACGCTCAAATTTTGACAGCATTTTTGATTCCTCATAAATTGATAAGTTATTCACAGAAACATTCACAACAGTAGTCAAAGCTGGCACATTTGTATTTGAGGTTCATTCATGTGCCTCATGAAGACTCTGAAACTGTCTGACAGACGTTTGGGGATTTTTTTTTCTTCACTGTGGTGAAGAATCGTTTTCATCACTTTCCTTTCTTCGTGTTCCTCCTTTGTTCTCTGTCTTCGGCTCTTCCACCTTTAGCTCTCCACAGTTCTGCATCAGCATCAAGCACACCCGTGGTTCATCACCCCAACGTTCCTCCTCACGAACACAAAGTGAGACCAGAACTGTTTGTTTATTCTTCATCGATCTACAGCCCGACCGATCCAACAGTGTCTGTGGAAGTTTTTTGCCTCTGATGTTTTTTACGACTCAAACCTGAGTGTCATTTCTCTTTAGTTCTGATGTCACCGCTGAGCAACACAAACCTTCTGCCGTCACAGTTACTTTCAGCTGCTCACTATTTTACCACAGTGGAAACTTCCACTGTTTTTAACGTTGGCTGATTTTCATGCTAGGTGCCCTTTGTGACACGACGCCCACAGGATTTCTGTCTCTTGAGTGTTGTGGTTCACATTTGCCTAATAAGTGAAGGCTGTTGAAGTGAACTACAACTTTCTAAGTGCCCAGTTCTTTTTTCATTCTTCACTGTAGTGTGACACAATAATAACAATACAATAATTGATCCATGGAGCCTGCTGAAGGTCTTCCTGAACCTTTTCACCCCTTTACTCTTTTTAAAGCTGCAGTTAAACAAAATTGTGCCCCAGTTTTGAGGGATGTTCATGTTTGACTCATTTCACCACAATTCTGTGTGGTATTTCTACAGAAATGTATTTTCATGTTTCATCCCACTAGCTGTTTAATACTCAGACGTATTTGAATTTCTGTTTACCAAAGAAAATAGGCAAATCAGCAGGGTTGGCACAATAGAGGAGGATGTTAGAGACTGAGTGAAGGAGGCAGATGAGCTACTGTGATGACCCCTAATATGAGAGCAGAAGGTTAACCAACTTGAATTCACCTTTATACATCACAGCTTTATTTAACTGTCCACTTTCACAGGCCTGGTTAGCTGGTATCAAGTCAAGTCAAAGAAGTCAAGGAAACCTTAATTTCTCACATGCAAGTTGCCCTACTGTGAAATGGGACCAGTTGTGTATAATATGAGTTCATGTCAATAAACAACTGGGACACTCTCCTGGGACAGACTGGGAAAAGAGACATGTGGACACAGTTCATTTAGGCGAGGGAGTCGGCATGTTAAATAACTGAAATCCTGTTCCACTCTATGTTCACATCAGGAAATGTGGGTTTCATGTCAACGTCAATGCAATGTCAATGGTAACTTTATTATCCCTAATGGGAAATTGATTTGCAGTATGTCCATACAGAAATATAAAAAACAAACAAACAGGCAAACAAACACATCACATACACACACAAAAATAATATAAGCAGAGCAGAAGGTTAACCAACTCGAATTCACCTTTATACATCACAGCTTTATTTAACTGTCCACTTTCACAGGCCTGGTTAGCTGGTATCAAGTCAAGTCAAAGAAGACAAGGAAACCTTAATTTCTCACATGCAAGTTGCCCTACTGTGAAATGGGACCAGTTGTGTATAATATTGATAGGTTTAGTATTGTTGATTGTCATTTATGCTTAGAAACATTTACTCATATATGCTTAGAAGTATATAATCATTTGTAGATTGAAAGAATGTCTCATCCTAAGAGGTGTATAATTAATTGTGTAGTGATAAGTTGTGTGATCTTTAACAGGCTACAGAGGCTTGGTGTGCATTCCTGGAATGCACACCTGCATCTTGGGGGCATGGGAAAAGTTCGCATCTTGTATTATTGTTTTATGGTAGGATTACCGTACCGTTTGTTCTAGTCTAAGTGCTTTTCTGTTTAGATGAACTGCTGGACTTCCTCACCGGGGGAGGGGGGGGGGGGGGGGGGGGGGGGGGGTCTAGTCTACCCTCTTCCTGACCAAGGATGTTATATGACCCTTTGATCAGCAGTACCCCACACACACACACACACACACACAGGCAAGGTACTCTTTGTGTGTATGTAGACGTCATATGTTAATGAACCTATGCAAATTCATGTAACCTCAATAAAAGGACAGTGGTATGGGAGAACGGACGAGAGCAACTGGGGTCAAGCGAAGGGACGGCGCTCTGTCCAGTCTCTCCCGTGCACGAGTAACATGAAGAACTTGCCTACTTCGTGTCTTGCTTTGCTGTGTAATTATATTGTCTTCAACGTTCCAGCGAATAGGTTTATGCTATAAACCTAACAAATATGAGTTCATGTCAATAAACAACTGGGACACTCTCCTGGGACAGACTGGGAAAAGAGACATGTGGAGACAGTTCATTTAGGCGAGGGAGTCGGCATGTTAAATAACCGAAATCCTGTTCCACTCTTTGTTCACATCAGGAAATGTGGGTTTCATGTCAATGGCAATGTCAATGGTAACTTTATTGTCCCTAACAGGAAATTGATTTGCAGTATGTCCATACAGAAATATAAAAAACAAACAAACAAACAAACAAACAGGCAAACAAATATGTCTGTGAAGGTTCTCAGTCATCCAGGTCATCGTAGTCAAAGGAGCTTGCAAAGAAAAGCATCAAGACTTCTTTAAGTTGCTTGAAGACGTTTCACCTCTCATCCGAGAAGCTTCTTCAGTTCTAAGGTCAAATGGTGGAGAGTCCCTGGTGGAGAGTACATCACAGCTTTATTTAACTGTCCACTTTCACAGGCCTGGTTAGCTGGTATCAAGTCAAGTCAAAGAAGTCAAGGAAACCTTAATTTCTCTCTGCCATCTATAATCCAGTTTTGAGATCCCTTCCCAGACGCCTTAACGCCCACTCACATCCTGGGCCATCTGATCTCAGGAATTCGCATGATAAGGTGGGGCCAGGTTTCACAATGAACTCACCCGAAACTCTGGCTGATTGGGACCCACACCCAGTTTCACACCTTAGCTCAGGCGATTAGAGGATCATCAGGGGGTCCTTTTGTCCCTCTGTGGGGGGTCCCTCCCACTAGGTTTATATCTGGGACTCTCCACCATTTGACCTTAGAACTGAAGAAGCTTCTCGGATGAGAGGTGAAATGTCTTCAAGTAACTTAAAGAAGTCCAGACGCTTTTCTTTGCAAGCTCCTTTGACGAAGGCAAACAAATACATCACATACACACACAAAAATAATATAAGCCTGAGAAAACAACCTAAATTTTATCATCAAAAAAAAAGTGCAACGTGCAGTGGCAACAGCACTTATGGTTAGTGTTATTAACCATGATAATAGAAGTAGGTACAAAAGACAATCTATGTCTCTTTATCTTCACTGCAGGCACTTTGTAACGACGACCTGATGGAAGCAGTTGAAAATCATTAGAGAGAGGATGATCTGAACACAACAGGACAGAGGTGGCCTTCCTCAGCACCTGCCTGTTATAAAAGTCCACAAGCTGGACCTGAGACCTCCCTGAAATCTGACCAGCCACTTTAACCAGGTTGCTGAGTCTGGTCTTATTATTCAAGGACATATTATCATATCAGGCAATGATACAGAAGGTTAAAACAGATTCAATAAAACTTTTATAAAAAAAGAGTCATTTCAGATGAAACATTAAAACCTCTCAACCTCCTCAAATAACCTGAGCCTTTTTAACTGTAGCAGCAAGATGTGGCTCAAAGGACAGAAACTTATCAAGAACAACCCCCAAATACTTATAACTTATAACACAGTTAGAGCAGGATGGGGGGATGTCTTCACATGACGAAACAAACTCATCCACAACAGGTCCATGGGAATCCTCTTCACCGTGAAGGAGGTTTTCAATCACTGTGTCATCTGCATACTTAATGAAATGCCTGTTGGCCTGTGTACTGCGACAGTCATTAGTGTACAAAATATACAGAAGAGGAGAGAGACAACAAGTTGTAGAGTTTTCTCTGTTTGGTCATCAGACTGGTGAGGGTGGTTTTTGGTGTTTACACGTGTTATGACACATTCAGAGTTCAGGTCATGCCATGTGGTACTACAATGGCCTGTGGCTTTCATAGGAAAGAGGGAGGTGAAATGACAGTTTCCTTATTATAGACTGGCCTGTTGTTGTTAACTGTTTTTATGACATAAAAGTGGGGTTAAAACTAGAATTTCAAACTCTATACAAATACTCAGAAAAATACTCAATAGATGATTCTTCAAATCCAACAAAGGTGTGTATGTGTGACCTTTTGACCTTTAGAATAGAATCCAACTTTATTGTCATTGCACATGTCACAAATACAAGGCAACTGAATGCAGTTATTACATTTTCAACTTCACCATGAAGGTAAATCACTGACAGAATAAGAATTTTTGTTCAACTTTATTCCAACTCGATTCAAAATCAGGGTCGATCTTTATCTCTGTCAGATCCACAGTCAAATCCATAGAAACTGAGTTGTTACATTTAAAGTCACGTTCAAATTTGAAGCATTTGGAATAAAAGAAAACATGATTTACAGACATGACATAAACATTTTTTAATGGCTCAACCAGTGCAGGTCACAGAAAGTCCCTGTCACACTGTGGAAACTCTGTTACTCAGCCTTCATTCAATCACTGCATCCTAGCTGACTGACAAGATTCATATCCTGGGCTCACTCAGAAGCAGAGCTGTTAAACTTGTATGTGTCACATGAGCGTAACTTTAAACAGTATTGTGTCCTCCTGTTCTTTGTTCAGAGTTTAGTTGTTTCTCCTGTGTTTAACATGGCTTTGCCCACTGTAGTGTGTGGTTGTGTGATGGAGTACACAGGTTTTTTGAAGGTCAGACTGCAGGCCGACATCCTGAACAGCAGTGATCTAATTCGTCGTGTTTGAGCGCCATCTGGTGGTGAGTTTGGTAATTGTAAAAGGATGACGTGACTTCTCATGAGCATTGTAGTGTGGCTGATGGATGTTAAGCTGACCTTTTCTCCTCATCTGTCTTTAGACCTTTTTTTCCCCCCGATTGAGGAGCAGAGCAGAGCTGCAGGTGACAGGCCTGACATGTCCAAAGGTAAAAGGGACGAGAATATATTTCAAAGGACCTAATCTGTGAGATCTTCAGTTCTTATCTCCTTTAGTGAGAGAGGCGTGGTCCTCTAGTTGGTCGGAGGGTACCTGCACGTGGCGATAATCCCTGACCCAGATGGTGTAGACTGGAGGTGAAGGGCATCTTCAAACTGAATGAGGACTTCTGTCAGGCTTGGTTAGTCTGTGGAGCTGCAGAGGCACAGAGAAGTATGGATCTGGCTGAGGCTGAAGGAAAAACTGAGGTTTGGGAGGAGTTTAATAAAGCTGTGGAACAAGATTTTCAGTGTCTGTTGGTTTCTAGATTTTATTCATTCATTTTGCTCATGACCTAATCTAAAAAATATGTTTACTGACATGTTTCAGCCAAAGAAAACTTTTTCTCTTAATGATGAGAGGTGGAAACTACAGAACTACCACCCTGTAAGAGAGGAAGGAGGAGGAGGGTCTCGCTTGATGCTAGTGTGGACCGATCAAAGTTCAGTAGCACCTGCAGATGGAGAAAGTTTCTTCACTTTGGCTGCTCTGTAAGTATGCTGTGATGTTTTTTGGTTTCTGAAAAGGATTAAAAAGAAAGGACTCTCACTGTGTTGCTTCACAAACATCCAGTTTGTGAAGACAAAAAGAGAGAAAACCACTTCCTGTTTTCTGCTTCTTCAGTCTGTAGATCGACCAGACTGATGGCGTTGCTGCTTTTTTCCTGAATGTGAAGCTTTAAACTAACCTGTTATTTCTCTTTAGTTTCAACCTCACTGCTGATCTGCACAACAAACCAAGGTCAGTAACCTTTTCCTGTCACAGTTTAAACCTGATATCAGCTACACCGTAATAGAAGCTCTGAGCATTTTTTATATTGTGGCATGATATCATAGTTATTGCGCTAAGCTATCCAGGATCCTGCTGAAAGTTCATCGATGCTACCAAAAGCATAAAGGAAGTATGTTCACCTGAAGAAACGTTTCTAACTTTCTTGGAGGTTCACATTAAAAAAAAAACTGATCAGCTTTGACTGAGCTCACAAAGTTCACCACAGCAGGTCTGCTTTGGACCTCAGTGCTGGCTTGTACTTAATATGCATCTTCCTCACAGCTCGTCTGACTGTGAGTCCCAGCAGCTCTCAGGTCTTTAAAGGAGCCTTTGTGTCTCTGAGCTGTGAGGAGGACGACAGCTCTGCTGGATGGACTCTGAGGAGAAACACAAGCAGAGACACCGGAGCTGAGTGTGGAGATGAGTGGGGAAGATCAGCTGGTTCTTCCTGTGACATCAGTTACATCGACCCACTGGACAGTGGAGTTTACTGGTGTGAGTCCAGAGAGGGTCCCATCAGTAACATGGTTAACCTGACAGTCACTGGTAAGCTGAGTGTGTGGAGTTAGTGTTGATGAAGCTGTGTGTAAATGGATGAAATGCTGTAGTTTGTCTCTGTGTTGAGGTGGATCAGTGATCCTGCAGAGTCCTGTCCTCCCTGTGATGGAGGGAGATGACGTCACTCTGCTCTGTAAAACAAAGACCACTCCCTCCAACCTCCCAGCTGCTTTCTATAAAGATGGCTCCCTCATCAGGAAGCAGCCTACAGGTCACATGACCATCCAGCATGTTTCCAGGTCTGATGAAGGCCTCTACAAGTGTGACATCAGCGGTCATGGAGAGTCTCCATCCAGCTGGATCACTGTCACAGGTGAGGAGCTTCACTCTGATTTCACCTCTTTTTTCATCCACATATTCACCTGAACATGTGAGATGCTCTCTGCAGGCAAACCTACAAACACAACCCTTGCCCATGAACCCTCCTCCCACCACCTTGTGTCCAGAGTTTCCCTCCACCTGGTCGTGTTCTGTCCATACTTCATCTCCACTCTGCTCATGGTATCTTTATATCGATGGAGAGCCACAGGTAACACTCTTAGTCTCTTCAGTTATTTATCAAGCTCAGTTCCTTTTGACTCTTTATACAAATCTCTGATTACACATGTGACAGGAAGTGACCTTATCCCTGTGGTAACAGCACCACCCACCCAAGCTAGGGAGAGACTGGCTGAAGACTGTGATGACATTGTTGGCGTGATCACTGAGCATCACTTCTGAGTTCCTGTTTAATCTGTCAGATTGTGGTCGTCACATCTCTGTGATTGAACAATGTGCAACACCGCATATTTAAACTGGAATATTATGCTTTAATGAATAAATAAATGAAGAAAACATGGACCAGTCAAAGACTGAATAGTAGTAATGGAAGTTTAATGGATTTAAAGCACTTACATGTAATCATTCTCCTGTCAAAAGATTCAAACGTTGTGTAATAAAACATGTGACGGTGTGTGAAACACCTGCACCTCTGCAGTCTGCTCACATGTTCATGTTAAACAGGAAACTGAACGACTACAGTGCTGTGGAACATCTGTTAACCACAGGCTAAAAGACTGGTGGTCCTGCAAGAACACTGCCCACTGCTACCTTTCATCTGCAAACACACACTGACTGCAGGATGGGCATTTAGAAACTCTGGCTCAGTTTATATCAGTGAGACAGGCAGTTAAAACTGAACCTGGTGTTATGTGCTACAAACTTAAATTAAATTACAATCCACGATTCTGTTCAGACCTTTTCTTAGTTGGTTTCTTTATGATTATAATCTCAGGTTTTTGTTACCTTTTCTGAAGTGAAATGAAGTTTCTGTTGGTAGTTTATCTTTAATTCTTTGAGTTCCAGTTTATTCTGTCTCCTCTATATTCTCCTGTATTTTAATGCTAATCTTGGTCTTTTTGTTCCCTTCTTACATTGCTTCCTGTTTTACTTTGATACCCTTTTGTTTCTTGTATTTGATTTCACATCTTTTATTTCATTCTGATGTGATTACCCTTATTAGCCTTTGTGTACTTATAGCTTCAGTCTTCCTTTTTCGCTTGTTGTGTCTTACTGTTTCTTCAGTGCCTTTTGGGGTTTGTGTCCTCGACATCAAATTTGTTTACTTACCTTTTAAATGTTCATTCTGATGGTTTTTCACACTGTAGATTGTAGATCTTCAAAATGAAGTGTACTGTTTGAGATTTGATGTTCTGTTTGTAACCCTCACAAGGTTATCCACTGCTGCTCATTACATGTTTTTCATGGATGTGTGGTTAAGTAATGAGCTCCCAAACAATGTGGCAGAGAGGTGGTTTGGGCTTCTACATTAAATCCTGGTGCACATGTCTGACAGTGTGCGCACTTACTGCTCTGATGTAGATAGATAATTGTGTTGTTGATTATCCAGTGCAGACCTTCTGTAGTTTATGTAGCATCAGATGAAAATGCTGAAACAGCCATGAAAAACTTAACTGACGCCATCAGCAAACTGCAAAGACTCTATCCAGAGGCCTTTGCTCTTGTCGGGTTTTAATTACTGCAGTGTTTGATCTATGCATCTATCAGAATGTTTGTAGTTTGCACTAAAAACTGACCATCAGGTCGCAGCAAACATTAAAAACACATGCATAGATTTCAGTTTCTAATGATTTATGGTGTAGGCACCTGTTAGTCACAACTACTCATGCTGTCCTCGGTGCACGCCTTCGTTTCTTCCTCTGTGAAAAGTTTGGGTGTCATCCTCGACAGTACTCTGTCTTTCAATTCACACATTAATAATGCCACTCGGTCTGCATATTTTCAATTGTGCACCATTAATCAGCTCCGTCCTTTTCTCACTCCACATGCCACTGCCATTCTTGTTCATAGCCGTGTTACTTCCCGGATCGATTACTGTCATTCAATTATTTTTTGGTCTTACTCAAAAATCCATCCACAAGCTCTAACGCGTCCAGAACTCTGCTGCTCGTATCATCACCAGGACTCCTTCTATCCACCACATCAATACTGTCCTGCAGCAGCTTCATTGGCTCCTGGTCAAATATTGTATCAATTTCAAAATACTCGTGTACACATTTAAGGCTATTCATCATCTCTCTCCTCCATATGTCTCTGACCTGGTTCAGATCACCAGCCCATCTTGGTGTCTTAGATCCTCTTCTTCTCTTTCTCTCTCTGTCCCCTCTACCCGTCTTGCCACCAAGGGGATCGTAGCTCAATAGTTGGCAGTTTGTCTTATAATCAGAAGGTTGCCGGTTCGAGCCCTGGCTTGAACAGTCTCGGTCGTTGTGTCCTTGGGCAAGACACTTCACCCATTGCCTACTGGTGGTGGTCAGAGGGCCTGGTGGCGCCAGTGTCCGACGGAAAAATTAGGAGGACTTGGAGAGTGTTCATCTGTGACAGGAGGCTGTAGACAGTGGAGTGATTATAGGAAGCATTAAGCTTTCACACGAATCAGAGGGGGGGCAGGAAGTAGGTGGTTAAACAGAAAGTAAAACATTAGGCTTGTGACATACAGTTTAGATGATGTCACTTCTCTTGGGGATTTTACAGGAATTCGAGCTGCTTCTGAGAAAATGTCAGAGCAATGTAACTGCACTGAGTGAAGATCAGGATGGTTGTGTTTGTTATTCATTGTGAAGTTTTCACAGTGAAATGTAATTGTTTCACAAAGCAGTGATTGTGTATTCAGGTTGATTCCACATGTAAGATTCACCAAAGAAGCAAAGATTTCACATCATCAGACCCAGATGGATTTTTGGGGATCCATCTCCCAGCCACTTGGTTGTACGCTGTCCTAGCTTGCATCTCATGTGCTGGATAGTCTTTGTGACACCTTTACACAGCCTGCAGGGTCGTGTTGGCTTCTATAGATCTGGTGCTCAGGGCCTCTGTGCTGTCTTTTAGGAATGGCCTTTTTCTAGACACTAGTAAGATTTCTTCATGTTTTATCCTCTGTCTGTGTGTCAGTGATAGATTACATGATTTTGGATCCTCCTTCTGACACTCTGTCAGCTCATCTTGGAGTATCATCTTAATGATTTATTCATTGACGCTGTGCCGATGGCTCCGATCTTATTCTTAGTGTTTGGTTCGCTGTATTTGCAAAAATGGCACAAAATATGAAAAATAGAAATTCGTCAGGAGGTTGATGGCTATTGTTGTGTTTAGTTTTTTTATTCCGTCCGTAGCTTTATCTAAAAATGAGGAAGAACAGTGCCAATGCTTTCTGTAACTGATGGGGCCTTCTCCATTTAGCTGTGACATCACTGAGAGGGTCGTGTCCCTAACAGGCCTGAGGTGTTCATACAGTTTCACTTGTCTGTTGTTAACGGTTGTGATGGGCCCATGTGGGTTAAATGAGTCATTCCTGTCACACCAAAGACGTGGGTACTAACCATCAAGGACTCTTTGAAATCAGCTGGGTGTCCCATCAGTAGTCCAAGCTGGCACATTTATATTTCAGCTTCATTCATCGTTTGTTTGCAGACCTTTCAAAGCCTTGTAGTGAAACTAAGATGTACCCACTGTGTTTTTCTCCTGTGTGTTTGCTGCTTCAGGGCAGAGTCTACATGTGCCTCCTGAAGACTCTCTGAAACTGGGGAATTGTACAGGCTCCAGCCACAACTCTATCACCCTCCGCTAACTTGAACTGGACAACTGGATGAAAATGAATATCTAATCAACTACAGACTGTTAACATTTGTTCACTTGTTCATGTATGACTGTGCCTTATATCAGTGTTGATAATTCCTTGTGGTATTTCTACTGAAATTCATTTTCATTTTTCATCCCATTAGACATTTAAAACTGAAATGTATTTGGATTTCTGTTCACCAAAGAAAATCAGCAGTGTTGGCACGTTAGAGGGGATGGTAGAGATGGGGTGAGATGGAGGCAGATGATCTGCTGTGGCGATCCCTAATGAGAGAAGAAGGAAGAAGTAGACGGGTTGTACTGATGCGTGCTCAGTCTTATTTATATACAAAGTTAGATCTCTTCTCCACTCTCTTGTTAACCAGCTGAAAAGCAGCTTTATACATCACAGCTTTATTTAACCTCCACTTCATGGGCCTGGTTAGCTGGTATGATGCTGTTTAGCAAAAAGGAGACAAATACAAATATTTCAAAACAACAGAACAACAGAAACACAACTGATCAAGTCGTTGGTTTTATAGCAACAAAAGACCTCAGCTGACACAGAAATCACAAAAGTAAAGAATAGACCTGCACATGTTTGACTCCTCTTTTTTTTATTTGTATCCAGTGCTGTGGGTGGTTAAGA